AGTTACGCAATTGTTACGTTGGTCGTCGATTAAGAACGGTTTTGTATGTTCGTCACTCTAGCACAACTAATTATGTTCGTTATATTAGGCATCATAAAGAAATGCAGAATGAAATAGTTAGATAGACTATGATACTTTGTAGAGAAAATATAAGAAACGAATAAAATGGATGATTAACGATCTCTTTATAAAATGTTTCTCGAATGATGTACATTTAGCTATCCATATAGAAATACTTTAGTTTCCGTGTATAACAAAAATCTATCATCGAATTACTAAAGAGCTAAGCATAGAACAATTTGTATTGAACACATAGAACATATCTAGATACGAAACTTCGTCCTAATACTATATATCAGAGGAAATGATTTTCCTGTGTACACGAAGAGTACATTAATACGAATTGCTTTTTTAAATTATTAGCAAAATAATAAAATATTTCATCGAACTGCTTCTTTTTAAATTATATGGCAGAAATAATGTCATTACTATACTCTGATAAAAAAAAAAAAACATACAGCTTTAAGTTTCTTTAAATTTTACAGATTTTCACTTAAAGGGGATGTAACACTTGTTACAGTTCAACGTTATGAATTTTTCCCATATTTTCTTATTTATCATATGGAATAATAAGTTTTTAATCTTTTTATGACTTTCACAAAAAAAAGAAATGACAAACATTACTCTAAAATATGTAAATAATTTTTTAATACTCGTTACTATTCACATATAGTGCTGTTAATTCCATAAATATATCATTCCTGAAATAAATATTTAAAACAATAAAATGCTATTGCTGAACACTACGAGAAGAAACTCGGAACAGAAGTCATTGTTAGTATAAAGAAGTTAGGAAAACGTAACAATTAAATAAATTAAAGGAACGTGTAACTATATCCATGCAAAGAGAGCACTATAAATTATAGCATTTGATTAAATATTAAGTAATATACTTCAATTTTTATAAATCTTTTTTATCGTCATGTGGAAATTCTAGTAATTAAAACATCCGTCTTTCTTAACCCTTGAAGACCACCATAGGTAAAATATCATTCCATACGAATTTTCTTTTGACTTTATTAACAAACATAACTATATTAAGAACCACAGTAAATATTAATTCCATTAGTATTCATTGATACTAACAATAATGACAACACTATCATGAAACAAATTCTCTCATTTTACCATAAGAAAAGTTAACTTGGGGCGATATTCCTGATGAGTCTTAAGGATTAAAAAATAAAAGAATCTTTACAGAAATAAGCACAGCTTAAATTAAAGCATTCTATAACATCCAAACAACTACGCTTCTCAGAATATCTGAAGTGCAATATATAAAACAAAAGTCCCGTTAATTCGCTATTTAATAAGTACAATCGACTTTTAGATTAAAAGTCCTTTAGGTAAAATTTGATTATAAGTTAAATACATCAATAGCACAATGTAATACATGATTCAGTGTTCAAATAAACGACACTATTTGATAAGAATAAATAAATATCATGAACCTTCAAATCTGCGTCTACTTTCAAAACTACAATTTTAAATAATAATTTCCTACTTATTATAAAATAATTAAGAATAGTTTACTAGTTGCCAACTATTTTTCTTCTTGATACCACTGTTATAAATAACAGCCACTATTCTATTATCTTTTTAAGTGAAAATCTTAGAAATTTAAGCGAAACTCACTACTTTGTAACCTAAAGTAACAGCGAGACATGTCTCAGTAAAATGGACGAAAAGTGAATTAAAAACAGACGGTAAAAAATAATACAGAGAGAACTATAACGATATAGCATACGATTAAATTAAATCTAAGAAAAAACAGACACTAAAGTAGCTATTAATTTCTATATCCACTTTCCACAATACAATTTCAACAACGCTTTCGATCTAATCGCGAAACTAGCTGCCGATTAATATCATCGTACAAAACACTATCGATCTCTAACTTCGTTCAAGATAAAATGAATTAAAAAGAAAAAAGGAAACAGAAATAGAAAACAAAAAAGGATAGAAACAAGTCATCGTACCAGCAATGCATCGCAAACATAACCTGCGTATAGGTGACAAATAATCACTAGAAATAAGTTACTGCAAGCAATCGTTTCCACCAGAAATTAATAAATACATTATACCTAGAAATGGCTCTTTGAAGTCATTCGTAACCAATAAAACGACTGAAAAAAAATCTTAGTTAAAATTCCAAGTACCGAAGGACGATACCAACGTTAAAATCATTGCACCTGCGTTTCGTAATCTTTTTCTCTTTTCGTTTGTTTTATTTTTGGTCAGGTTATCTCGACGCGAAGGATAATAACCACGATCAGGCTACACAAGGTTTCTCTCGACGTAGCAGTGATAGATACAGCGAATCACGAACGTAATCACAGCACTTACGAGGACGAAAGTGACGATTAGAAGCTTTGTACTAAATCTCACGGCTAAATCCCCGAAAAAATGGATCCCCTCATTCGAGAAGATCTCGTCGTTTTCCATTTGTACTAGCAACAAACTCTAACGAGTTAGAAGTATATATCGTATATATTTATATATATATTTATATCTATGTAAACGAACAATCGATTTTTCTTGCCCGACACATGTGAATCTCCATTAAAACACGAGAGAGGTTTCAATCGATCGGTGATCAACTTCTGTTCGACCAAAGACGAAATAGAAGAAAAACGAAGAGTGAAGTGAAAATGGTACGTGAGAAGATTCTAGTCGATCTCTATGAGAAGAAATAGATAAATAGAGCACGATGATCTGTACAGGCTAACAGAGTGACGTACAGAGAAGAGAATTGGACTAAAGAACGGAGTCGAGGATCATCGTCTAAGGTCTCCTGGGTCTCTTTTCGTTCCTCTTCCTATTGCGAGAACCTCGTATTAAAATATTAAATAATAAACGTAGAAATAACAACGATGCTTCTCAATTCGCGTAATACGACTGGACAGTGCGTCTAATCGAATCCTAAGGCATCCTTGCTGATGATCCACGACACCAACAATCACTGAGCCGAAGCTGAACGGATATTAAAGTATTTCTTCGCGAGATCACTCGTTCGAGATCGAGTATTTAGATCGTTACAGGTGCTCAGAATGATACCGTAATCCCACTGCCAGTGTTTTTCGTTTACGCAACTAATCGATCACAACCCATCTTTGGCTCTTTCAGGAATTTCACTCAGGGTTCCCCTAGAAACATCTAATTCGCGGTACAGAGTTCCAAACGGGTCAATTATCCGTGACCATACGTGTCAAAAATATATACGCTATTTTGTTATTCGTGTGATCTAAACGTCTACCAGACGAGACTGTATCGAAAAGGCTTGAAAATTTCCGGATTTCCGAGAGTATTTACAATTTCGAAGAGTCTAGAGCCACTGAAGTCTGACACGCGATACAACGTTGTAATCTCGACGATTACCCGTCTGATCAACGGGAATTCATTTCTTGCACTATCATCGAACGGAAACTATCAAGATTGCAGGGTCAACTCGAAAGCCTTTGAGGAGGACCAAGAACGTACGCGTACCTGATGCGGTACGAAAATGAAACAATCATCTAGCACACGGAAATAAGATTCTGATTACGCGCACAGAATCGTATTTTCATTGGGATTCTTGCTTTTATACTTTGCAAGAATTATCCTCGTAATTTATGCACACCAATGTTACATGACGAACGTCCAATTATTTATATGCGATTACGAATCTATACGACCGATGGTTTACGACAGAATACGCGGTGAATGTTCACCTGTTCCGCACGATTTGCATCACAAATCAACCGAAATCCTTTGGATTTAAAGCAATTTCCCTTGCAAAGCAGTTGAATTTTCCTACACGCGTGGCACGCATGCAAAGTAACGCCACTTGGGTCTCGTATCTCTCATACACCCTTTGTATTTCTCGTTTATGTTCCTCATCGTGCCAATATCGGTCTCACTTACTCGTTGGCTAACGAAATTATTTTTCGTTCAAAAGGAGAACTACGAACGTCTACTCGCGACCAGTTTCTAATCGACGTAACGATCAACAAGAGTTAAAAAGTTTGTACATCCGCGAAGAGGAAACATGGGATACAGTACGGTTTAATAGAAGTATACGTATATATACTTTCACTGTCGTTTATAAGCTGCGTTGTAGCTAGTAGAAGTGACATAGTCAGATCGTAAATTGAAACATTAAGTGACGATATTGATTGAAATGGCCTCACCCGAACTGCAAGTCATTGATCGATATTTATATATTTATAGGGTTCCTATATAATACATATTCAATATCGATATATGTAAAAGATAATAAATTGCGTATTTCTAGAGTGCACAATATGTAAACCCCTTACCATTTATGTTTCGATGACGCGGGTCACGATCAACAGCAACGTCGGACACGTTGAGGCAGGTCGAGACACGTGGAGCACCTTCGTCCGAACGCGACGAAGAATAACACGCCACTGAGGCAGGAAAACATCGTCGAAAATTAATCAGCCTGACCAGTAATATTTACGTTCGACTCGTATTTACTACGTTTAATACGACCCACGTTTCTCGCCCGTGAAACTCGTGTTTGGCTCGATACCTTACCACGTGTCTCACACGATATTGCAGGCGAAGGGGTTAAATTACTTTTTACATAAATTATATTATATTTTATATTGAATCTATGTTCAATCTGTATGTAATCCATGTTTAATTTATGAATTTAGCTATATTTCATACTATATGGAATTTTGTAAGTAAAATATTTTTGTTTACCAAGAAAAGAATTGGAAAGACCAAAATCTGATAAAATAATGAAAATTCGGGAAATATAAGTACCCATGTACCTAACTTTGAAATAGCATAAAGTTGCAGAGAAATAAATATAAACTACAAAGAAGACAACTTTCAACTATGTCACTTCCACTAACTATATAGACTAGGACTCAACCGATAAAAATACTTTTGCCATATTTCTTCCTCACAATGTACAGAAAGAACTGTTACATACACAGAATCAGTTAAAATGCCCGGAGAACTCAAAAGAACCTGATGAAATCTTTAGCCGAGGATCTCAGAGCTCCTCGAACGAATTTCCTCTGAATTCGTGAAATCATATTTGCGGATGAGCTTTCATGGAAAGCATGTTACGAACGCAAAATGACGAACACAGCGATCTAGATACAATACAAGCATACGCTTACCAATAAAAGTTACGAAACAAAGTAATGACTTAGGAATTTTTGTATACCTTTGAACTTCTGAGATATATGGATCAGTTGGTTTCCAGTTGTTCTATTGATCATGGTAGGTCTGGTGTTAATATCTATGTAAGACAATTTCTGATAATATCTGTGAAAATAAAGGACATACAAAAATTCGCAAATCGTTAGTTTGCCTCTTAACTCCTGTCAGCAAGTGTACGCTTATACAGAGGCAGAAGCGTGTGTAGCTTTGTACTGAACTGAAATCGTGTAATCTGTACTATACGACTATATGAATAGAATCTAAAAGGCAACAGCCTTGGTAAGTGCCTAAGTTGCCAAGTAGTCTACGAATAATCGCGAATCGACTCGTTCGTTTAGTTCTCAATTTCGTCAATCTTAATAAAAAGCTAGAACACTTCTCGTATGCACCACACGGACAACGCACAGCGGATTCGTTTGACTCGATAACGACAACATAAGGCAGTCGAAACAGAAATCGCTATGAAACTGTTCGAACCACAGACGGTGTTTCGTTTTTTCCATTTTTTGTTATTTTTTTGTTTGCTTTCATTTTAAATATCTATGTATAGAAGTTTCGTTTCAAAAATTCTACGTGTGGACAGTGTGTGTGTGCGTGTGCGTGCGTGTGCGTGTGCGTGTGTGTGTGTGTGTGTGAACGTGTGTAAGTGTATTGTTATCCTCTTTTTGATATTCGTTTCACACATCCCACTCGAACGTCAGCGGATGTACATCCAACGGTACAGTCTTGCCCTTCTAGTTACTTTATGAAATTACATCGAGTGTCTCTAAAACGTTCTTTGTGCTGGTTCGTCTCTATACGTGGTACTTGGGAAATCAACGGTGCTACCTGTATCTCTATTTTCGATAATCCCTCCTGTTTTTTTCTTTAGAAAATATTCTCAAAAATACCAAATCTGACGTGAAGGTTCCAGACACTCGTAGTTCGATCAAAACGGAGCTGTAGTTTGCTCCCTCTAGTGAAGTGATTGTATATGATACATGTACTCCTAAGATAATGTTTCCAGTAAAACGAGCATATTTCTGGTAACTTGATTACACCAAGATTCGAGAACGCAGCTTGTCCCCGGCTTATACTCCTGCTAATCGGCCCCAGTTACTTGCATCAGGAGTATGTAAAGGGCAAGGCTGGCCCTAGGTACATCCATGCAATCCTCTACTCATCTGCGTTTTTTTTTCTTCGACCTGTTGCCTTTCTTGGACGTGGTGCAGACCGAGCTGGTCAAGCCGTTCGTCGCGGTCCTCTCGCTGGTCTCGCGACCCGAGTACTCCGCTTCGGTGTTCGTGAACACCACGTTCGCGTTCAGCTCGTCAGAGGAGCTCGAACGTTCCGGTACGATGTCCTGTTCCGAATCGCTGCGTTTCTCTGGCTCGGTATCCTGCTCTGGTTCTGAAGAATCCTCCTTAGAGAACGCAGGATCCACCAGCACCGCCCCGACGTTCCAGTTCTTCGACTCGCTTGAATCTTTTTCGACGATCTCGCTCAGAATTTCGAGCTTCGATGTCTTCTCGATTATCTTCACGTTCGAAGGCTGATCGGTGGACAAGCTCGAGAATTTCAGAAGAACACAGTCATTGGTGGACTCCACCGTCGAATTCGCAGAGCTGTTACTCGCGACAGCTTTTGTTTCGTGACCGGAAATGATCTCCAACGAGTCGGTCAGCAGATCCACCTTCCTGAAAGTCTTCTGTTCGATGGGTTCCTTACGCGTGATTGATTCCGTCGAAGAAGCAGTTTTCTTCTTCACGACGAAACTCCAGGATCCTTCTGACGTCTGAACAGAAGAATCTTTCGCAACGGTTTCCGTTACAGTTTCTTTCAACTGATCCGCTATCGTTGAGAATCGAGCAGAAGATTCGGAGTGTCTCCGATGAGATTTCTTCTCTTCGCTCGCTTCCTCTTGAACTGGGTCGCTTTCAGGGTCCTTTTTTATTTCTCGTTCAACTGAGGACGCACTCTTCTTTCTTACGACGGAACTCCAAGAAATCTCCGATGTTTGAAGGGATGATTCTTCAGGGTCTAATTCTAAGACAGCCTCTCGAAGCTTATCTGCTACCTGGGAACTCGAGCTCTTCTTATCCAGATTCTTTCTTAACGAGGACTCGTGTATCTTCTTCTTCAGAGACTCTATTTTTTCTAGAATAGGTGAGCACGATGATACTTCGATAGAATCACACGGTTGCTTCACCTTGTCCTCAACTATGTCGTCTTCTTTTCGTGCCTCCGAGTCAGCCACGGGCGATCCGCTTTTCTTCTTCACGACAGCGCTCCAGGAAAATTCAGGCACAGACTCCTGTAGTTTCGTGTCCTTTACAGCTTCTTCAACGGGTTTTGCAAGTTCAATTGTCGCCTCTGATGTCTGTACGTTGCTCTCGTTGCTAGCTTTCTTGTTCTTCCGGGACTTCTTCGCGCGAGTTCCACAGACCTCGGGTCCAGAGAGAATTTTGCACTCCGAAACGGTTGTGGTGTCGATTAATACTTCCATCTCAGCTTTCTGCATCGCGTCGATGTCGATTATCTCGATTCCTGCTTGTGATCGTTTAGGTGCGACGTTAGATGGAGAGGTTTTAGCGGGACGAACCTTAGCTTTTCTTAGAGGACTAGAAGTTTCACTAGCCGAGGTGTCTTTAGTGTTGACACCTTCTTCAGCTTCCTCTTTCTTTTCTGTACTCTTATTCTTCCAACTCTCGGCCGGTTTAAAGATCACAGTTACGTCAGCTGCTGACGTGTCGCTCTCGATCACTACGATATCCTTTGTCTTCTTCGTGCTCTTAGACTTCGATACTTGTTCCGGTGGAATTTCCTGAGATTTTTTTGTACTCTTTTCATAGACATCTTTAGATACTTCTGATGACACAGCACATACATCAGAATGGTGGACATGCTCCAAATCATCGTCAGAGAATGTACGTTTACCTCTGGTTGTGGCTGATTCGTTATCACTGCTTTTATCCGTTTCAAACTTCGAATCTTCTTTGCACAGCTTGTCAGGTGTGTCTGCCAATTCAGAAGAATGTATGTACTCTATATCGTCGTCGGATATCGTATTCTTGCTGTTCTTTCTCTGCATAATGGGTGACGAAACCGAGCAACTTATAACGTCTAAACATTTATCGCTATCGATGCACTCAGCCTGCTGCAACTGAGTGATTTCACAACTTTGGATATGTTCGATGTCCTCGTCAGACTGAGCCGAAGTTCCATCTTTGCTACAACACGGGGTATTCACAATATGATATTCGCTAGAACTAAAATCATCTGTTGAGTCTGAAGGAGGGGATTTATACTTATCTATTTCTTTGATTAATACATCTATGTTAACAGTCGACTTGAAATCTTCCTTTTTGTCAGTTTCTTCGATTATAGCATCCAATTCTATGATCGGTTCTACCTGTTTCACGGAGCTTTTACTTTCCATATCAGATTCAAGTTTTGTTTCTTTGATATCAGGAATCGTGGAAGACTTTGATTTGGTTTTAGACTTTCCAATCGCAGATTCCTTCGAAGATTCTCCGCTTTTACTATCAGAATATTCGCTTTTCGTATCTTCAACCACACTTTTCTCTCTTTTCTTTTTGCTACAATTACTTTTAGTATCCTCGCAAGTAGCATCTTCAATGACAATACTATCCTCGTGTTCCTTAAGAACGTACTTCTTAGCAAATGTCTTAGTCTCAACTCGTTTGCTAGGGGTCGCAGTAGATCCGTTCTTTCCAGACTTCTTAGTAACCTTCTCAGGCTCGCAAGTTTTCTTGCTTTCTGTCTTATAATGCATAGATGTACTCTTTCTTCCGTGTACTACCTTATTCTCCATCAAAACGAC